GGGGGGGGGGGGGGGTGTAGTTCTCCTGACACTGGATCAGGATTCCTTTGGACAACACCTGTGTTCTCACTGGGCTCACTCTGCACCGGGATGGGATCGGCCAGCCTGGGACCCACAGTGACCAGGCTCTGGGGCGACTGGCCACTCAGCCTGGAGGTCAGAGCCCGCCTTTGCCTAGGGCTCAGGGTCAGCTCACACCCTCTGGAGCCTGGTCAGCATCCCTGGTGCAGCCCCTGACATGGGCCACAGGTCTCCTTTATGCCCTCCAGGTGGCAACACTGAGACACAGACAACACACAAAATTCACACATGAACCAGCTTTGACTCAGCAGGTGGGAAAAGGGCCTGATTTCCATTCCACAGACCCTCTGGGCCCTTCCACATGCCTATTCTCTCCCACCCAGTCCTTCGAGGGGCCAGGAGCACCTGCTCTGCCAGGGGTCCCTGTGCTGCTCCCCACTCCCTGCCGGGCACCACTCATGGGCAAGGTGGGGGTGACCACAGGAAAGCCCCCCAGGCAGAGGACAGAGGCTGCCCCAACAGTCAGGGGGCACAAGGACAGGCTCAGCCAACAGACACGGAGAGAGAGGGTCTCCCTGAAATTGTCCCTGAGGGCCAGGGAGGCCACAGCACCTGACCTCCCATCAACATCTTTATTCCCAGGACACACAGGACACCTCTCCCTTCACACCCAGGAACTGCAGGTCCTTCTGAGACACCCAGTCTGGGACATAGAGGCCTGGCTGGTGACACCTGGAGATAGAAGGTAGGTCCACTCTTCAATCATCACTCACTTGCCCCCTCTCACCCCCAGAGCCATCTCTGTGACCTTGCTGGGAGGAAATCCAACCTTCCCAGCACATTTAAGAATGTGGAGAAGACCTGGTGCCCCGCTGAGTTTAGTGTCACAGATGGAAATAATCCCCAGGTTTGGGGACCCCAGGGGCTCTCTGTGCAGAGCTGACAGACCCAAGACCAGGACACAGCAGAGACCAATGCTGGGGTGAGAGGGTCATCCTCTCAGGGGAAGGGGTCTCCATCAACCTTACTATTGCAAGTGCGCTCCAATGTTCTCATGATTTTTAAACGAACAAATTTAGATGTTTACAAAAAGTGTCAAGTGAAACACTGATGGATGTATTGATAAGCATTGGATTTTCAATCATTGGATCTCATTCTGGCGGGGCACCCACCTTAGCTGGGCAGCTGATGACGCATCATTTCTAAGGTGTCCTCTGGCACATCACAATCTTTACCAAGTTCCACAGGTGATCCGATGTACAATGGGGTGACATCCCTGTGACAAGAGTTTGTGATGTGGCCCCAGGGCTCCTGCTCTGAAAGAAAAAGCCAGAAGCGGTAAGAGAGGCCTGAGGGGGGCGCTATTGAGCTCTAGGGAATGCCCCTACCTGACGTCCAAGGCTCAGGCTTGTCCAAAAATGTCATGCGGGCATGAGGGTGGGGGCGGTAAGGTAGAATCACTGCAGAAAGAGAGGCCTCAGCAGTTCCCAGGATCTGAAACCCAGATGGAAGGTTAACGGGAAGATGGGCAGACAGGAGGCAGAAATGAGGGGCGGCAGAGGGAGGGTCCCGAGCACTGACCCCGCCCTCGGGCCATGTGACCAGTGAAGTGATCTTGCCCGGGTGGGAGGCTCAGCTCAGCGGAGGAGAGACCGCAGATCCCACCAGTCCCCAGAGAAGTGCCTCTGAGCATTTCGGGACCTGAAGGTCTTCTCACAGAGGGAGGACAGAGCAGGCAGCAGACACCATGGAGTCCCCCTCTGGCCCTACCTGCAGAGGGCGTGTCCCCTGGCGGGGGCTCCTGCTGGCGGGTAAGGAGGGGACAATCCCTGGGATGGACTGGAGGAGGGGAGACAGAGACTGGCTGGGGTCTCCTGGGGAGCACAGGGCTCTGAGAGGGGACAGAGGACTTCTGTGTGGATCAGAGGGGAGAGGACAGGGGAGCAGAGTAGGCTGGGAAGGGGGCTCAGCAACAGGAAAATCCCATGATCTGGAAGTGGTGAGGGGCGGGAAAACCTCAGTTATGGTAAGTTTTACAACTTGTTGGTCACTGAGAAGCAATTTACAAAAACTGATGGTAATAACAACAATTTATCAGGATGACATAAAACATTGCCTTTACCACAACCTCAGAAATGGGCACATACGCCCCAGGAGCTGCAGGCCCCTGGGAGCACTCACTCCTTCACCCCCAGGTCTTTGCAGCCTGTTGCAGGCAGTGGGGGTGCAACAAGGTCAGACAAGCCCCGGCCCCAGGGAGCTCACCTTCTATGGGGAGGAGACAGACAAGGCAAGATCTACATGTGATGTCAGGGACCCACAAGTGCCGTGTAGGGGACAGACCAGGGACAGGTTACAAAGTTGAGACAGAGGGTCTTTTTAAAAAATATATATCTTTATTGATTTCAGAGAGAAGAAAGGAGAGGGAGAGAGGGATAGAAACATCAATGATGACAGAGTCAATGATCGGCTGCCTCCTGCACGCCCCCGACTGGGGATCGAGCCCGCAACCTGGGCGTGTGCCCTGACCGGGAATCGAACCTCAATTGCCTGGATCCTAGGTCGATGCTCAACCGCTGAGCCGTGCGGGGCCTGGCGAGACAGAGGGTCTTTAGAGGAGGTGGTCAGCGAAGGTGTCTCCCAAGGACGCCCCCGAGTGTCAGCAGGGGCCTGAGGGCAGTGAGGGGGTGAGCCAGGCAGACACCTGGAGAGAGTGTTCAGAACAGGAAATTGCAGGTTCAGAGGAGCTGAAGCCATGGTGGCCACGCTGCTGACCTGGACCATGGGAGACACACAGACACACACCCCCCAAGGCTGAGAGATGAGACCTGCTCAGGACCCAGGGCCTCATCTCTCCATCCCAACACACAGATCCAAATATTGACCCATTTCTCTTCCCTCCTAGTCTCACTCTTAACCTTCTGGAGCCCGCCCGCCGAGGCCCAACCCAGGGTTGAATCAGTGCCGCCCAATGCTGCCGAAGGGAAGGATGTGCTTCTCCGAGTCCACAGTCTGCCCGGGAGTCTCGTAGGCTATGCCTGGTACAAGGGGGAAAGTGTGGACAGCAGCCATCAAATTGCATCATATATAATAGACACTCATGAAATACACCCAGGACCTTTATTCAGTGGTCAAGAGACAATATACCCCAATGGATCCCTGCTGTTCCAGAAGGTCACGCTGAAGGACACAGGAAACTACACCCTACTGGCCACAAACAAAGATTTTCAGCATACACAAGTAACTGGACAGTTCCGTGTGTACGGTGAGTGACTGCTCCCTGACCTCTGGGTGTCGGTGGGGGGAATTCTTCACACACAGGACTGACTGCCCTGGACTCGCCTCCAGCCCCCTCTCATCGCGTCCCAGGCTGGGTTTGGGCCTTTAGTGCAGGTCACACACAGTGGACACAAACTTCCTGAGATCAGAGCTCCCTTCCCGGATGCCAGCCCTGCAGACATTCACCACCTTAAAGAGGACCAGTCTCATGGNTGGATGTCAGCCCTGCAGACATTCACCACCTTAGAGAGGGCCAGTCTCATGGGAGTGACTCAGCAGAGGGAGACCAGTCTCAGTCCAGCCCCAGGGCCCCTCCCTGTGACCAACCCCTGAGAACAACCCTGCAGGGCTCTGTCAGGGCCTGGCCTTAGGGGCCCCTGAGATCCTCACAGAGAAGCTCCCCAGGCAGCCTCTCCACAGACTTCTGTCCCAGGGCTCCTGACTCCAGGGATCCTGAGGACCCTGGGTCAGGTTGAGTTTGGTCTGTGGGCAGGGCTAACTGGGAGCAACAATTGCCCAGGGGCCCAGGTCACAAGCCTCCTGAGCTAGTCACCAGCCAAGGCCCAGCCTCTAGAGCCACATCTGGTGGGGTGAAGCTTGGTCCTTCACCTGAGACTGAGTGGAGAGCACAAGTGGACGAGTCCCCAAGGCCATTAGCCAACTGCCCTAGGGGACACAGGAGACTCCAGAGAAAGGTCAGTGTCCCCAGGAGGAACAGAGGAGAGAAGATGCTCCTGGCAGCAACTCATTCACCAGGGATCAGGCCAAGGAGTCCTCTCTCGTGGACACAAATAACAGATGCTGTTACTTGGGCAGCTCCTCTATTCCAACCTTTAGGTTAGAAAATTGTGAAAGATTTAAGGTTCATTCACAGGCAACATGGTAGGCCTGAGACCATTTACCATGTATCCTATTCTGTTCAGAGGAAACTGAGTTACAGGGGGATACAGTCACTCATTCAGAGTCACATAGACCATGACCAGACAATGGGAGTCACGCCAAAGTCCTTCTGCAGTTACAGCCCCTCCTCTCCTCCACTCCAAGCACCTTATTTTGCACATGTGGACCCTGAAACCAGCTGTTAGGTCAGGTCTTTCCTTTTTTTTTCAATCCTCACCATAGGATATTTTTTCCATTGCTTTTCAGAAAAAGTGGTAGAGACAGGGCGGGATGGGGGTGAAGAGAAGAGAGAAACGTCAGTGTAAAAAGAAACATTGATTGGTTGCCTCTTGCACACTCCTGACCAGGGCCAGGGATCGAGCCTACAAACGAGGCATGTGCCCTTGGTCAGAATCCAACCCAGGATCCTTTAGTCCTTGGGCCAACGCTCTAACCCCTGACAACCAGCCAGGGCAAGATCCTTCCTTCTTAAAGGTCACCAGCACAAAGGGAAAGATTCTGGTCTGGAGAGTGATAGCAAATGGAGAATTAATCTGTTTCTACTCCAGAACAAAATTACCTGCAGTAACAGAGTCAGTGCTGGGAACAGCCCTTGTGTATTTGCTATTGTCTGAGTGTTTGAAGCAGGATCGTGTCCTCTGCAGTGACAGAAAGGACATTAAAGACCAAGGGCAGACAGCATGGCTCTGCTGCCAAAGCCAGGCAGTTCCCGCTGTCCCTCATTCTTTTCTAAATCATTCCTGGACTCTGCTCTATCCTTTCTGGGGTCATTGTCTCATGTCCGTCACCAGTGACCTCCTGGGCACACAGCCCCACCTCATGGCCCTGCAGCCTGGGTACTGAACTGACTGCCAGACTTGCTTCTGGTCTCCCATGTGTTGTTTCTGCTCAGACTCCCAGTTCCAGGCCACGCTGCCCAGTCCTCTCGGGGCTTAAGGACTATGGGATGGCCCATCATTACTCATCTCTAGGATAACCCTGAATGTGAGGCCTCAGCTGTGTGGGTCTGTGTAGCTGGAAGGGACTCAGCACCCGCAACTTCCAGGTGAGGCCCCAAGGTCGGCCAGGCAGTCAGCTGGTCAGTGAGGAACCAGGACAGGCGCCGGGTGGCCTCCGGCTCCCAGTCCTACGTCTTTCCATGAACAAACCCTGATAGTTCCCTGACACCTGAGAAAGTCTGTGCTTCCCCCCAGACATAGAGCAGGTGGCCTTCCATCTCTGAGTGCTCGGGTCCTCATGCTTTTATTTGTCTTGTGATACACAGACCTGCCTTATTCTTTTAAAAATTGGGGTTGGCTGAGGGGTGAGAGGTGTCAACTCTGACTGAAGCTGCCTTTGGAGGAGTCAAAGGCACCACACAAGGCAATGTTCTCTCTGTTACCTGCACAGCGGTGTTACCCAAACCCCACATCACAAGCAACAACTCCAACCCCGAGGAGCACAAGGACCCTGTCCTGTTAACGTGTGAACCTCAGACTCAGGGCACCACCTACCTGTGGTTCATCAACAGTCAGAGTCTCCCGGACAGCACCAGGCTGCAGCTGTCCAAGGACAACAGGACTCTCACTTTACTCCGTGTCACAAGGAATGACACAGGACCCTATGAGTGTGAAACCCAGAACCCAGTGAGTGTCGGCCGCAGTGACCCATTCACCCTGAATGTTCTCTGTGAGTAACTTCTGTCCCTGCCTGGGCCAGGCTGACCCCAAACCCACATTACCAGAGGCCAGGTTACATCTGTCCCTCTCAGGTCCAAGGACACAGACCCTCACTCTGTACACCCAGGGTGGCCATGACTTCCTGTCCCAGGCAAATCTGGGCAGGCCTCTGGGTTGGGACAAACAAGTTAATGTGTCAAACTTAGGCTCAGTGCACACAGTGGGTTCTGGTTGGGACTTTTAAAAACCAGGTTGGAGGTGGGGTGGGGGTGGGGTTGAAGGGGTAAGTGAGAAGGAAAGGGGGGACATCTATAATACTTTCAACAATAAATGTAAGTTTAAATATATATACTGTGAGGTAGAATTTCAGGATAGCTGAAGCTGGCCCCACACCTTCCGTCTTTCTGCCGTGGCGGGGTAGGTAGAGTTGTTTGGGACAGAGAGGGTTTGGCGCATAACAGCCATTATTTCCAAGGACAGCAGTTCTCATTTATTTTACAGCTGATCTCAGAGTAGAAATACTGGCAGTGATGGTATCTAATCAGAAGGCAGTACACCGAGGAGGTTACAAAAAGCAGGTGCTTCTCTGTATTTCAGTAGCAAAATTAAATAGCAGAGAGATGCATTTGGGCAGAGGTTTCTTATATTACGTGTCTCCCAGTACCTGTTTCATTTATTGCGAGTTGTGAAATATATCTGTCAAAAAGCTGCACACATATGGTGCCAATTGTTCTGTGGTCACAGTTTGAAAATTTTGTGTTTTTCCCCCAGATAAGGAAAAATCATCTATTTTCACACTAGTGTTAAGAAGTCTTTTATAGACCCAGAAAGAGAATTTGGGTGGGGGTTCTGCATAACACTTATATGATTCAAATTGATTGTTTGTGGAATTGAATTGCATCTATAAAAAAAAAACCACAACAAAAAACCCAGGACCTTGTGGCCTTTACACAGGTCAGGGGTTTCCCCTTCCCTCTGATTGCATCATGTGTGGCTTTGTTCTCTTTGCTCCAGATGGCCCGGGCACCCTTCCACTTCCCCTCAGACTCCCATTACCCACCAGGGCAAACCTCAGCCTCTCCTGCCAAGCGGCCTCTAACCCGCCTGCACACTATTCTTGGTTTATCACTGGGAGGCCCCAGCCACCCACACAGGAGCTCTTTGTCCCCAACATCACTGTGAATGATAGTGGATCCTATACCTGCCTGGCCCGTAACAATGTCACTGGCCTCAATAGGACCACAGTCAAGACTGTCACAGTCTCTGCTAAGTGCCCCCTGGACCATCGGCACCAGGCTGTAGGGTGCATATCTGTCTAGTTTTCAGAAAAGAGCCTAGAAGATGTTGTCTCCCATCCTGTGGCCATGGACAAAGCAAACCACAAATTCTTCCCCTGAGCCCTCCCACTACAGCCCTGTAGACTCTCCTCCCCTGGCTGTTCTGATTTCTCATGGGGGAGCAGGGGTCCAGCCTTGGAAAGTGAGGAGGGGGTTCTCTCAGCCCCAGAAAGCCCCATGTGGTAGAAGGGGCTACACAGAGGGGGAAAACAAGGGTCCTCAGGGTTAAGTTGCTTCTTCTGTCACTAATACCTTCCTTCTGTCACCTCTTTTCTGTTTCCTGCTCTGTAGGCTACAAGGAACTTACAAGGCTTTGAATTAGTCTCAGTTCTTGTTTTCCTAACAGAAGGAGGAAACCACCTCTGAGGAGGGGTGAGCAGGACAGACCCCTGCTCTCTGCTCTGCTCCAGGCTCACCTGGTGACTGACTCTGCTCTATGNAGTGAGGAGGGGGTTCTCTCAGCCCCAGAAAGCCCCATGTGGTAGAGGGGGCTACACAGAGGGGGAAAAACACCTCTTTTGTTACCTGCTCCGTGTGCTACAGGGAACATACAAGGCTTTAAATCAATCTCAGTTCTTGTTTTCCTAACAGAAGGAGGAAACCACCTCCGAGGAGGGGTGAGCAGGACAGACCCCTGCTGTCTGCTCTGCTCCAGGCTCACCTGGTGACTGACTCTGCTCTATGCCATCTGTGTTGGGGCAGGGGTCTGTGGCGGGGTTGCATGCATGTCCTGTCCTCAATCTGGCCATATGGTGTCACTCACCAATACCACCCTCAGGCCAGGCTGCATGGTAATGGGAAGAGAGCAAACCATAGGGGAGACTCCTCTGAGCTGTATCCTGGCTCTGAAGTCACCAGCTGTGCGACGCTGAGCAACACCAGCATATATGATATTCCAAAGGGGAGCAGTGAGCCATGGTACATACTTGACAAATAGGTAGGTTCATCCATGAAGTCCCTTCATGGGACAGAAGGAGCAGTGGCACAAAGTTTGTAGTTTATGGAGGAGGCTAAGAATACCAGCCTTCTGTTAAAACTGTGACTATTTCTCTCTAGAGATTTCCTTCTCTGTGATATTCAATCCACAGGCCAGGAAGGGGAAGTCCTGTTCAGACTGAGAAATCCTTTAGGTTAGAATTTCTCCAGGTCCTAAAGTCATGGAGACTGGCTGAGCCACTCATTCTCTAATAAATCATTTAACAAGAAAGAAATGCCGTCCCATGTCTATGTATAGTCAACATACAAGAGGGGGTATGATTTTTTAGAAATTCACAGAGAGATCTGGGAAAAAGTTGCACAGTAGTCAGTGGGTAGCTATGGCCAATGTTTCTCAGTGGTTAGAGTGTAAGCCTGAGCACCGAAGGATTTCGGGTTTGATTACTGGGCTAGGGCATGTACCTGGGTTGCAGGTTGATCCTGTCCCCAGTTGGGGCCCATGCAGGAGGCAATCAATCACGTGTCTCACATCGATGTTTCCCCCCCCCTCGCTTCTTTCCACTCTCTAAAATTCAACTGGAAAAATATTCTCAGGTCAGGATTAACAAAAAAATAAAATAAAAGGAGGGAAGGAAAAAAATCAGTGGGTAAAAAATTCTACCTAACGATGAAAATGCTGGACACGTGGACTGAGAAGAGGTTGCTGGTGCTGATACTAGATGTCTAGGGAGACAGGTCAGGGGTCATCCTGAGGTGATCTAGAGGTAAAAGGGGAGGTATAGCCCTCTCCTTACAGATTGTCACCTGAACAAAGACACTCATCCTGCAGAGGTCAGGGCCATCCTCTGGTGACCTTCACAGAGCTCACTGTGGACGGTGAGTGGCTGAGATCTCTGAGGAAGGAACCCACTCTCAGTCAGCCACCTCCTGTTTCCCCAGAGCCAGTGGGAAAGCCCTCCATCCGAGCCACAGGGGGTGAATGTCAATCGGGAGACATTACAGGAAACAGAAGGGCAAAGCGGTTAGGAGCTCAGTTTCTGACCCTGGGGCTGGCATTCCCTGTGACCTTGCACAAGGGGGTTTTTTGTGATCATTTTCTATGTGATAAACTATACATAAAATTTACCATTTTAACTATTTTAAGTGTACAGCTCAATGGCATTAAGTACGTTCCCAGTGCTGTGCAATCATTACCACTATCCACTGGGAACTTTTTCATCGCACCATACTAAAACTCTGTACCCATTAAACAATAGCTCCTCGCTCCCCCACTCAACCCTGGAAACCATCATTCTACTTCTGTCTCTATGAATATGACTATTTCAGGTACATTGTATAAGTGGAATCATAGGATATTTGTCCTTTTGTGTCTGGCTTGTTTCACTTAGCGTAATGTCTTCAAGTTCATCCATGTTGTAGCATATATCATAATTTCATTTCCTTTTAAGGCGGAATAATATTCCCTTGCATGTATCCATGACATTTCATTTATCATACATCCACCCGTGAACTTCTGGGTGGTTTCTACCTTTTGCCTGTTGTGAATGATGCTGCTGCGAACAAGAGTGTACAAATACCTGTTCAAGTCTCTGCTGTCACTTCTTTTGAGTACATACCCAGGGGTAGAATTATTGGATCAAATAGTAATTTTTGTTCAATTTTTTTGATGAACTGCCATGCCATTTTATGTGGCTGCACCATTTTCTTTTCCTGGCAGCAATGCACAGAAGTCCCAGTTTTCCCCATCCTGCCAACACAGTTTTCTGGGTGGTTTTCGGTTTGGTTTGGTTTTCCTCAGTAGGAGCCATCTCAATGGGTGTGAGGCGGTGTCTCATTGTGGTTTTGATTTGTATTTCCCTAACGATTAGTGATGCTGAGCATTTCATGTGCCTATTGGCCATTTGCATATCTTCTTTGAAGAAAAGTCTATTCAGTTCCTCTGGCCACTTTTTTAATTGGATTTTGTTGTTGTTGAGTTTTAAGAGTTATTTATATATTCTGGCTATTAATCTCTTATCAGATATATGATTTTCAAATATTTTCTCCCATTCTGTGTGTTGCCTTTTCACTTTGTTGACAGTGTCCTTTGATACACAAAATTTTCTAATTTTGGTAAAGTCCAATTTATGTTTTTTTCTTTGTTGCCTGTGCTTTTCGTTTCCTATCCAAAAATTAAATGTCAAACCCAATGTCATAAAGCTTTCACCATGTGTTTTCTTCTAAGGATTTTTTAGATTTAGGTCTCACATTTAGATCTTGATCCATTGTGAGCTAATTTTTCATATATGGTGTTAAGTGGTTCAAATTCATTTTGATGGATACCCAGTTTTCTCAGTAGCGTTTCTAGAAAAGACTGCCTTTGCCTCTTGAATGGTCTTGGTACTCTTTTTTTCTTTTTTTTTAATTGGTTCTAGAGAGGAGAAAGAGAAGATAAAGAGAGACAGAGAGAATCATTGATCAGCTGGCTCCTGCACCCCCCCTCCCCCGGGGGATCCAGCCAGCATCATTGGCGTGCGCCCACACCTGGAACTGAACCAGTGACCTTTTGGTGCAGGGAACGATGCTCCAACCACTGAGCAACACCAGCCATGGCTGCAATGCCTTCTAAGAGAGTATCTGCAAGGCTGTTGGGGGTCCTGAGCTCAAGTCACCCATCAGGGGAAAACCGATTCTCACAGCATTGGGCTTATTTCCTATTCCTGCTGGGAGCCTGTGGGAAGCGTGGTCTCTGTCAAAGGAGGTGGTGCATTCACTACAGGAGACCTGAGTGGCACATATTCGTGGCTGCCACACCTCATACTGAAATACACACAACCCTGAGATGGTGAAAACATATAACTTACAAAAAGGGCCATCACCCTTTCCCACATTTCCAAAGCTCCAAGAATATCTGAGTGCAGAAAGGCCAGGATGGAATTGTGGCAAGTCTGACCACCAACCTAGAAACACGGTGAGAGAAATTACAAGGATATAGTCAACTAACCACCTCACAGGGCACCCTCACTGTAAAATAATGTCACTTCATTCATTCTTCTCTTTTCTNGAAATTACTAGGATATAGTCAACTAACCACCTCACAGGGCACCCTCACTGTAAAATAATGTCACTTCATTCATTCTTCTCTTTTCTAGCCATGACAGATGATCCAACACCACAAAGTCCTGGCCTCTCAGATGGAGCTATCGCTGGCATCGTGATTGGAGTCCTGGCCGGCGTGGCTCTGATAGCAGCCCTGGTGTACTTTCTATACATCAGAAGGACTGGAGGGTATGCTGGCCTTTCCTCCCGTCCCCCTTCCTCCAACGCTAACCGCCATGCTTGGGAGAGGGAAGGAGACTTCCTCCTCTGTCTCTGGGCCTGGATCTGTTCCTCCTCCTTCCTAAACCCTTGCTTCTCAGCACTGACTCCAGCAGCCTCTTCTTCCCTGGTCTTCAAGCTTCCTGTACCCACTCTCCCTGGGACATGGTTATTCCCATCCCCACTGGGCTTAGAGGGGGCAGGTCTGATTCCCCAAGTCAGGGAAACCAAGGTCCAAGAGGGAAAACAAAGAAGTGAAAAGAGGAGCAGGAGAAAGTGAGTCCTGTGCTCTGTCAACCACAGAAACAGGAGAAGAGAGGGCAGGACAGGAGGGGAACCTAAGGAAAAGCAGAAACCGAAGGGCCCTTGGGCAATAACGAAATAAGAAGAAAAACAGCATCTACAAAAGGGAAAGGTGTCAGGGTAGAGGGAGGCTCCGAAGCAGTTGACAAAGAATGGACCTCTGTGAACGTCAGGCCAGCAGGAAAGGAGTGCACACTAGGAGGGATGGGGGTACACTGCAGGGGAACCCAAGGAGGAAAGGCAGTGCCGACCCTGGTATAGATGAGCACCGAGGAGCCCCAGGAATTATCTGCTGACAGTGTCCTTCCTGCTTCAAGGAGCAAAGCTCCTGTGCTTGGAGATAGCAGTCACAGTGTCTGATATTTATTTAGGGCAAGTGACCAGCGCGATCTCACAGAGCACAAACCCTCAGCCTCCAACCACAGTAAGTAAAGCCATCACCAGTGAGAGCTGGTGTGTTCCACCACGTGCCCTGCCCGGGCAGGGAGCCCGGGTACCTTCTGATTTTTAGATGGGATCTCCATTTCCCAACAGTAGGTTGATGTAGGTCCTCACACCCTTCTTGCCACAAAAGATTCCCCTGAGAACAGCCCTGAGGGAGAGACACTGGGCCTGACCAGGCAGACCTGCGTAAGATGGACACGTTTTCCAGAGCCATTCCTCATCTTCCCCTTCCCCTCTTTGTCTCTCTTACGGATGTGGGCATTCTCCTTTGGTGAGACTTTCCCTGTCTTTTGATGCTCTGGGTGCTGTGGGTTTCAATACCCCTCCTTGCCACTGGTGCCTGGTGCTGAGAAACACAACTGGGCACAGATCAAGGCCTTGTCAACTGGAAAAAATCCTCACAAGTGAACTGAGGTCTCCATGGCTCTGCTGCTGCCTCCACCCCGGCCCCTAGCAGCTGGTACTAACACCCTGGGTCTGGACCAGACTCTGCCGGAAGCTATTTCCTTAAGTGCTCATGGGCCACCTCCCCGCCCCACCCTCTCACTTGACCTGCCACCTCCTTCTGCTAGAAAGCACAACAGTTTAGGAACACCAGGGCTGTAAGGCCTTAAATCAGCTTTGCATTTTCATGGATTGCTACTCTTATTATACTTCCCCAGGTCAGGTTCCCTCTGACAAGTCACCTAAGAAGGTAAGTACAGCCAGTTTCACTGGCTCCTTTTCTCATGGAAATAACTCCGCTTAGAAAGGGTTACTCTTGAATTCACAAATGAGATATAGTTTGAGTCAGAGTTCCTCAATGCAGCAACAAACCAGTCTATGTTGGTTAACTACCCCCACGGGTCGACCTCATGCAAGAACGTGGGCTCTAGAGTTATTCCCATCCTTTGTTTGAATTCTGGTGTGACTCTTAGTAGCTCTGTGACCTTGGGCAGGTTACTTAACCTCCCTGATCCTCAGCTCTGTTATGTGTAAAATGGGCATGCTGCCTACTTCAGACAGAAGCTGAAGGAGTGAAATGAGGTAACACATGCAAAGCACCAGCACAGTGCCTAGTGCGAGGAAGGCGAGGAAGGCACCGGGTGTTCTCCCTCCTCTACCCTCAGTCTGACCCTGCTCCTCCTGTCCAAGGAAATGTCCATTCCAATGGGTCTGAGGTCTTAGTTCCTTTACTTTATAATAATTTTGCCAAGCTTCTCTCATTTAGCCTTTCCATAGGCACATGTATATATTGAAAAGTGGTTAAATCATACGTATATGCTAACAATGTATAAATTATTATGAGCTGAACATGCCCGTGTGAGCAGCACTGATGTGAAGAAACAAAACCTGCCATTCCTGCAAAATGAAGCCCTCTGGTCCCTCCCTCCAAAGAGTAAGCATAGCCTGACTTCCAATGCACTAGATTAGTGTTGCCGTTTGTGCCCTCACATTGAAAAGGGCGGCATGCCCTCATCTGTGTCTGCTTTCTTTCATTCAAAATGGTTCTGTGCGACTCATCCAGACTGTTGTGTGCATTTGTAGCTGTTTGTTCTCATTGTTGTATCATCGTCTTCGGCTGTGTGAACACCATAATCTATCTCTTCTAATGATCATTCCAAGGTGTCAGCACACAGGGATAGTGGGTTAGAAAAGCCCTTCTCCCAAGCTAGAAGTTTCAGAGCAGTGAGAGCAGGTGGTGCCGAATGACACCAGGCAAGGTGAGGGCCTGACCTATGACACTGATTTAATTGACTGCTGCTCATGCCTTTCAGGTCCCTGAAGTTACATATTCTTTGCTGACCTTCAGTGGCCAGGAATCAAAGAAACCAACCTCAGCCTCTCTGTCCCCAACAGCCACGGAAACGGTTTATTCAAAAGTAAAAAAGAAGTAATGCAACTCTGCTCACTGCACTGCTGACTGATGCCAAGCTTCTCATCTCATTTCCATCACTAGGAGACCCCTTTGCCCTCAGGGGAAAGGAGAAGAACCCTCTTCCTCCTCCCCCTTCCCTTCACTCCCTCCTGAGGCACCTCCAGGCTCCTGGTCACAGCCTGGCCCTTCAGTGTCAACTGATGGAAAGATACATCCAAGAGTCTGTAGGCAGCCCAGCCTTCCTTGTCTTTGAAATTTGGCTTCTTAAATTAACATTAGAACCAACAAAGTCTAGAGATGATTCTTTAAAAAGCAAACTTCTGGTAGAATTATTAAGAAAAAATGAGAGTGGGCACACTAAGCAGTTGGGAGTAGAAAAGGGAACAGTGACAGACAACAGGCAATAGGAGGACATTAGGGGCATCCTTACTGCAAACATTTGAAAAATTAGATAAAAGGAATAAATACCTAGAAAAATACAATGAAACCAGAACCGAATCAAGAAGGAAGAAAAGTGTGAGTAGCGCTATTAACCAATGAAGAAATCGAGTTAGTATTTTTAATCCTCCAAAAAGGGCTATGCGGATGAAAGGCCGCCTGCTAGCCTGACAAGCTCAGGGGAGGCCTGCTTCGCAGCTGAATTTAAAACTTTTAAACCAAAAGCAGCTTATGGTGGGTAGTCAGGTCCTAAGACAGTATTTTCCCTACCAAAGGTTAATCTTCACCTTAATTAAGCCTGTCGGCTGTCTTCTGGTATCTAAGATAACATATCTGATAAATGCGCCTTTGCAAAAACAAAGTCATTTCCCCCTTTTTCAGGACCCCTCAAAGCACAGAGCTGCGACCACAAACCCCCTGGTTAATTGTTGACTTAACTGTCCTGCACCCACCTAAGTAAAAGAAGTGTGTCTATCGTTTCACTTCTTACCCAATCCCAGCCCCCCACCCCTGTACCCCCGCTTTGCTTTCTCCTGCCTCCCTAATCTATCACCAGTGGATTCAAGTGACCCACTGGCCTCTGCCCTTTTGAATGTAATGTAGAAAATATGGTGCCAAACTGCCATTCTTTGAGCATGATCTCAATCCATTGAGATTTTGCTTCCGGGCAGTTGTCAACAGTTTGGCTCGAAATAAACTCAGAGAAATTCTTCACCAGTGAATGTTTCTTACGTTGACCTTTGCTTGGTGTAGTGAGGCAGGATTCCAAATCAGCTCACCCAGGACCACCTGCAGACCCAGACCCAGGGCTATGATCCAGCAAGGGGCCCATTGAGCCTGCCTGTTCCCACCCATTGGGTGAAGTTGGTTGTCTCTTGGATCCAGGACCTTCCCTTGCTTGTGATGGAGTGCCTGACTTTATTTGAGCTGTATTTTTAAACCCTCAAGGTGGAACTACGGTTGAACGTTGACAGAACCCGTGGCTAAGGTGAGACAAGAGGAAAAATGGGTGGCTGGTTTTTAACTCTGGCTTTTCCATTGGAATTGCTTTCTGAGAGTGAGCAAAAACCCTTCCCTGTATAAATGAGTTGAACTCTTTCAGCTCTGAAGATAAAGGGGCACGTCCTCCCTCCAGCCAGAATCTTGAGTGCTCTTAGGCGACTAACAATCTTTGTGGAGGTTTCAGAGGTCATTGTGCAGGAGCCCTGTAGGGAAATTCCAACTCCATTGTAATTAAACTGACTGGCTTGTCCCAGGAAGCACTCATGAAGATTGGCCACCCAGCGTCCCAAGCCCTTCTGGTTGTTTTAGAAGGCTGGGAGAGAAACCAAGGCATGTAAGAGGGGTGAATATGACTTGAGGGTTGAGAGCCTTGTGGAGTTCAACCCATAAGCAGCATACTTCAACCCACTACATAACACCCCTAGAAAATTTGCTCAGACTCTGCAGATATCCAAAGAAAAATCTAAAATTAACATGGGAAAGTGTGCCTCCAAGGCTGGGAACTCCCCGACCCCAGCCCAGGAAGCCTTTACTTGCAAGTGATTTACAGAAATGAGGAGATTTAACTAGAAATGATATCAACTGAAAATGGCGAGAATGCAGTTGTCTTTGGGTACCTAAATTAATAGTTTGCATGCAAAAATTAGAGAGATGCTGGCTCTAAAGTTAAACTGAATGAATGGGAAGCCTATCTTGATTTGGAAATTAGAAGCACAGATAATCTAAAAAAAAAGAAAGAAAAGACATTAATAAGAAACTTTAGAGACTGTCCGAACTCTTCTGAAGCTAATCACGCCTACACCCCATCCCTCCCCCTTCTGTGGCTCCTCTTCTCTATCCCGTGCTCTCTGAGCCTCTGAGCCTGGACTTGCCCCTCCCCTCCCCTCTTCTTCTCACTCTTCTACTTCCCCTCCCTACCGACTTGAGGGAAAATGAGAGTAGCAATTCTAACAGCTCCCTCTGGAGAAAAGCTGGACTCACCAGAGAGGAACCAGCAATTGTTCCTGATTTTATCTGGGACCCTGATGGGTTTGCAAAGAAATTTAACTGTTAGAACATGTCATCCTGGCTTTTCTAAACTATTCCAATTAATATACCTACTGGTTTCTGGGAACAAAAGCAACAGAATTACTAAATAAGTTTCGCAAGAAAACTCCTGTAGAGAAGTCTGTCCACTTTAAGGATTACAGGAAATGGAAATAGGACAAAAAAACAAAAACCAGAAGCAAGCATAGGGCTGCTCTGAGGACTACCAGAAGGCATTTCCCTACTTTTTAATGGCTTAGGAGAAATTACCAAAAAAGAGTGAGCTTATAATTCCATGTACGAGCTCCCATAATTCTATCCTTCCAGTAAGTAAATAAAAAAGATGGAGATTTGGATAAAATCTCAGAGCTATAAATAAGCTAGTTATTGCCAGATATCCTGTGGTTCCAAATCCACATACCTTATCAGCCGTTGGTATAACTGCCAATATTTTTTCAGCAATAGATTTATGTAGTGCCTTTTTCAGCATTCCAGTAGGAAAAGACAGTCAATATTTTTTTGTGCCTGGCCGGTGAGGCTCAATGGTTGAGTATCGACCTAGGATCCAGGAGATCAAGGTTTCATTCCCAGTCAGGGCACATGCCCGGGTTGTGGGCTCGATCCCCAAGGGGGGGACATGCAGGAGGCAGCTGATCAATGACTCATCATTGATGTTTCTATCTCTCCCTCTCCCTCTCTCTGAAATCAATAAAGACATACTTTTTAAAACACACAAAAAACCTCTTTGTTTTCACCTAGGAAGATTACAAGTTTACTTGGACCACAATGTCCCAGGGATATAGGAAGAATTCCACCTATTGTCTTAGATACTAAAAGCTGATTTAAATGGTGTTAAATTTTCTAGATATTCCACTTACTCCTACATGTGGATGACTTAGTTTTATGCTCTAGGAAATTATTAGACTCCCAGAAGAACACAATATACCTATTACAACAACCAGCTATGAAGGGACATGGACGTCAAAGAACAAGCTCTGATTCTGTTTATCCCCAGGTAAAATACTTGGGTTATGATACCTAAAGATGGGCTACTAATCAACCCTGAAAGACTCAGAGGAATTCTATATTTTCCTCTTAAAACACACATGCACAAAAAAGCAGCTTAGAGGATTCCTATGTTGGACTGAATATTGTCACAATCGGGTCCCAATTTTTTTATCAATGGCCCAACCTCTATATGTCATTAAAATCAAATTGACCTGATTCAGTTCAGTGGAACCTAGAAGGAAAAGAAGCTATAAAAATCTCTAAAGAATTATCTAAAGCTTCCACTCTGGGACACCTTAATTATAGAAATTTTAACTAAAAAATATAGATCATTATAGACCTATAGGCCATTATAGTAAGCTACTAGACTCATTGGCCAGAGGGCTCCCTCCCTGCACGAAGCCATTTCTGCTATCAATGTTTTATGCAAACCAACAATAGACAGTTCTGGGCTCTCCTTTGTTTATGGTGCTCATTCTGTTCACTCTCCACTGACTTCTCATCACAGTCAACACTTCTGTCATCTGACTGGCTCTTGTCTTCTGCAACTAATTTCACTTAAACTCGATATAACAGTCTCAGCTCAGCAACTGTGCTGCCTTCTCTGCAGGGTAAGGACATCCACAAGTACATGTTGCTTACTGACCACCTTCTCTTTCCCAGGAGTGGTCTGTGGAAAACTCCTTAACATTGCTGACTTAATTGACTTACAGATGGCTTTCTAAAGGGTCAGCAGCAATGTTACTGAGCTGGATAAATAATAACTTCCAAGTGGACACAACTGAGGGTTCTTATTTACCTGAATAAAATCGGCCCAACAAGCCTAATTCTTCTTTTTTTTTTTAAAAAAAAAAATATCTTTATTGATTTCAGAGAGAGGAAAGGAGAGGGAGAGAGAGAAACATCAATGATCAGAGTCATTGATTGACTGCCTCCTGCATGCCCCCGAATGGGGAGCGAGCCTGCAACCCGGGCATGTGCCTTGACCAGGAATTGAACCCCGACCCCCTGGATCCTAGGTCGAGCTCAACCGCTGAGCCACGCCCGGCCTAGCCTAATTATTCTAATTTGGGCTTGTCAATTGGCCAAAGATCAAATGACCAATATTTACACTGATAGTAGCTATGTCTTTGGTGTAGCTCACAACTTTAGAATGTTGTGGAAGTGTTGTAGGCAGCGGGAGCTGCAAGAGAGGTGGTAGACCCGGGGGATCAGACTGGACCTGGGTTCAGCAACCCTGGTACTTGAGTTCTGGCTGGGAAAGAATTCAGAGCCAAGGCTCAAACCGTAAGAGAACATTTATTTATAAAATCACAGAGGTGGAAGAAGTAACTCTTAGAAGAAATGGGCTTAGGAAACAAGTTATAGAGGTAAAGACAGGGCCCTTCGAGCTTGGGGGTGAGGAAGGTCACCTACCTGGGGGCGTGGGAGGGAAAAGGAAAGGGAAAGGTTTGGGCCTGCTCCTGGGAGGGAGAGTGTGCTTAATCATTTTAATAAGGGTTTTAAGGGTGGAGATTTTAGGGGAGGTCCCAGGAGAAGATCTTAGAATATTCAGCAGCTGTCCCAGTGTGTCCTTTCATGGTGTAGTATCCACTGATTGGTGGTGCCATGGCAGGGGATCATTTTCCTGAGATAGGCCATGGGGTCGCTGGTCTGGTTTTGTTACTTTTCTGAGCCTGGAG